GGACCCTTCCCCCCCAGAAAAAATCTGCTGCACCAGCCACGGGAAGCTCAGCACAAACCCCCGACTTCATTGCTGACCACCTGATCAAGTCTGTTCCTCAGTTTCCCCACCTGAAAATTGGATATGACCCTTCCCTCCTTCACACTGCAGGGACAGAGGCCTGCTACAGCCCCAGAGCACAAGTCCAAGCAAGTCTCCAGGCAAAGAACATCAAGATTTTGCATTTCACGGATAATGCCATCGAACTTTCTCCACGGAAGAGCCAAAGCCTTAGGCATAGCATATATCCAGTTGCTCAGCATCCCAGAAACTCTAGTCTAGTGAAATTCTATTCTGGAAGTACAGCTGGGGAGAACTGACAAAAATAAGTAATCCTACTGTCCATCCTGTCGCCCTGGCCAGGAGTTTGATGTCTGGCATCATCTGCTAAGATAACTGGGGTGGGGGGGAGAAGGAAAGTAGTTCATCCGTATTCTCTCTAATGAGAGGGAGGTGGATTCCTTAAACAGACTCATGAGATGCCCACTCTGCTCCACTGTCTTTAAAAAGCTTCACAACTCAACAGAAGGGAAGCAGCAAATTTTGCCGTGTGCTTCAGAACCTAGGCAACAGGACCTAACGGGTCTCATCCAGCAGCATCCAAGATATTCTCCAATGAAGGCTCTAAGAATATGTTCACCTAATAAATGTTAACAAAGTCCTACTGCTGTGCATTACAAGGAGTTTTGCTTTTGCTGACGATACCCCTTTGTTGCTTGTGAAGCACCAGCACTGTTGAGTCTCGCACAGGTAGCATGAAGAGTAAGGTTTTGGAAAGAGAGGAGGACCCCATCTCCAGCAAGCAGAGGAAAAGAAAGGCTGGGAAGCAGAACAGACAGCCAAACAGGAGTTAGGAGAGTCGGGACAAGGAGCAAACAGCACAGAGTGGTGGGGAGAGCCAGTACAAGGACACATCGAAGACACAAGGACGGGAGATACATTTGGATGGATGCTTAGGAAGGGAGGGCTGGAGAGACACTGTAGTTCAAATAAGAAATTGCAAGGGCTTTGCAGATGAGTTTCTGCGATACTGTTGGACAAGGGTAACGGAGGAGATAAATCACCAACAGCACATGCGGTAACACAAGCTGATCCAGAACATCTTCCTTGTCAGTTCAGTTTGTATCACATTACTAACAGTAACAAACATGGGCACAGACAAGGTGTAGCGCAGAAGGACTGAAGAAGTTTCCCACCCCCCCAAAACCAAAATACAGTTTGCCATGGCAATTTGTAAAGGTTTATCCATGCTGACAGCACTAGTAGCTTTAAGGCAGATGGGGTCACTACTGATCCACATTACATCACTACAAAGTGGGTTAAAGAAACACTGGAAGACCTCTCCATGTTCGAGAAGGTCAAGTGCATCACAAGCATCTGGCCCGATGAACTCAAGGCACTAGAGTCTTCAGAGCCCAACTCTTCAGAGCTCTTCAGACAGAGCATACCGGAAATTTATGCTTGCCTTGCCAAGACCATAAACCCCACCATATGGCTATGCTAGAGTGACACGGCTGAGCTCAACTGGAGCTAAAGCAATGGCTTCCTGCTCAGGAGCTCTAAACCTTGAGAATAGTTCCTTATCTTGGATATCTTCTCCCCCAAATAGGCCGAAGCCCTACAAGCAAGCAGCCAGCAGCCCAGGCTGCAGCTACAGATGAAAACAGCATGTGGCAGGAGGTGATTAATGCCAGCGACAGC